GTGAGCACGTCAGTAGTCAAGTCTCTGCAGTTCCTCGGTTTATCCTGTGGAGGGCAGATATTATAATTATTGAGCCACATGTGCCAAGTGTTGGCATGATGTGAGTTTTCCAAAACATTAGTTCTCCTCGAGTGGAAAATGTGTTTAATGAGAAGCGTCCAAAACACAGTAAATAGCCATTAAAGTTGCTCTAACAGCTCCCACATGTTTACTGAGTTTATGAGATGTGTGTGTGTTTCTGTGTGTAAGAGAGAGAGAGGGACCACCAGAACTTTCTCTCTCATTATTGCATCTATAATATCATATTTCCATGGTTGATACACACTGTCAAAGCAATGTATTGGCTCCGTGTCAGTTCAAGCAGCTAGCGTCGCTAATGGCCATCTTTCACACAGATACTCAGATCAGCTTTTCAGATTACACAAAGGTCAACCTTATTGCTCTGCGTCTCCTCCTAGTCAGACAAAAGGCTTCTCAGTTTTCTGTCATCAGTTACATAACAGACAGAAGGGGAGAGTTCCTCTTTCTGTCTGTCTGCTGTGCAGCTTCTGGTCCTCCTCCCCTTGTCTGCCTCGGCTGTCAACAGAGCTGTTGTTGCTGGAAAACTGTCTCGGGCATTACCTGTGGAGCCAGATATTCAGGTGGGCCCCAGACTGACTGGCTCATCACTCCTCTCATTTTACCCCCCTTAAAACCCCACCTGTCCATTGAGGAGACATTTTATCAAGCATCAGTACTGAGAGTTTAAGGCAGCTTCAGAAGTGCCTGAATGCAACTGTTGAGCAGATGCCTCACTAATTCTTCCTGCGGCCGTCTCACAAGTCTGACAGCGTCCCGTTCACCAGACCGTCATCACAACACTTCATGTTCGCCTCCACTCTTCCATGGAGGTCCTTCCCCCAGCCCTGTAATTGGTGCGGTTAACTCCATCATGAGATGTCTAATGTGTGTTGAATGGGTGTTGGTGAGGCATCAATTAAGTTAATTGTAGATCATTGAGTTAATTTGAGTTATTTAGAAAACCCCAGCTTTCCTAAATGTTGTGAGTGTGGGGGGATATGACGGGGGACTGTCTGTGAGTAAAGACGGAGGGGTGGTTAGCCTCAAATACATCCCTGAGCCCCGGGAGGACCTTTATGAGATTTGGTGATGATGAGGTTTTGGTGCTGATGATTGTTTTAGTGTGGAGGAGTGACTTTTGTGTTTTCCTACAGTATGTTGATTATGACTTTTCAAACAGCGTGACAGTATGAGGTTGAGGTTTTAGCGTGGAGTCTGATGTCTACCGCTCAATGTTTTCTTTTTGTTTCTTTGCCTGTGGAGAAATCTTGCTGAAGACGCAGCTTTAAGTCAAGTAGAAACATGACAGCTGCATTCCTCACAGTCTTATCAGTAATACGCTGTTATTGGTTTTGAGACGGAGCCAGGAGATCAGATGCTGCAATTAAAGTTACTCAGTGTTGTCATCGCTGCCGATTACATATTAATCTTCTGATTAGTTGGTGCATATGTGTAAACAAATGGTGCAGTTCACATGTGCATTTATACATACATGTGCAACAACTGTGTGGCAAAATAAATAATCAAAATGGAGCCAAGATAATTTATTGTAAAATGGGAATTTAGTCAAATATTCATTCTGGTGGTTTCCCCCATAAATTGTTGCAAGCTGCCACATTTGGAGCATGTTTCTGGGCATAAATCATGACTTAATGCTGCATTTAAATAGTTAGTTACGCAATTTATTCTTGGCGCACTCCTCACATTTTGTGCAATAACACTGTGTGACTGTGTGTGTGTTTCACAGTGTTATTGGCAGTGATCATTACCTGCTGACAACTCCCTGGTCTTTATTGTTTTATTTTCCAAAATGCTTGTGATTCACATGATTCATCTGCATTTGCACATCACACACAGACACCTAACATATTGTAAAAGCAGAAGAATGCAGTGTGACAGGCAGATGGAAACATTTTTGCAAACCAAGCCTCTGATGACTTTGAGATGTGTCAGGGCTCAATCCCACATATGGAGATTAAATTATCTTTACATCACCTAAAGACAGTGGAACCTCCATTATCTCTAGAGCTTGTTTTGCCTTCAGGCTTGATAATTAAACCAGTCTACATATACTTCTTCACCACCAAAGTAGGTCAAACAAATTGTAGTGACACATGGGAAATATCATCCCAGAGTTATTCAATTGCTTTTGTTGTATGAGCATATCAAAGCAATACAAACTCATGAGGATATTACATTTTTATCTGTTGACTATATTTTTTTAATGTAATCCAGACGTTTCGAAAAGTTTCAGACCATGCATCACTTTGACCAAACCAAGTATTCCAGGTTCAATTGCAGATACCAAAAATGTCACAATGAATGAGCCAAATTGCCTTGCTATTTCTCTAGTACTGTAAATCCCAGGTTGAAATAACTGTTTAATATAAAAAAAAGTGTTTGAAATGAAGGACTCAGACTTTAGCAAGGCTTTTGCATACCACTTCTCTTTGACCTCATCATATTTCAATCTATTCCTTTAAATAAGACTGTCTTCATGAAGACAATTGCTGCCAGATTCTTACTGGTGACAAACATACTGTACACTACCTATTAAAGTGACATTGAAGAGCATAATGTGAGCCTTTGTGGAGATGCTGTTGGTCTCGCAGAAACCACACAAAACATCCTGTAGCTCTGAGCCTTAAAAGTGAGGTTTGATGGATAAATTGTTCTGAAGCTTCTTTTTTTCCCCCCGCACACATCAGTGAAGCAGCTTTTATGTGAAGCCCGGGGGCCCGGTAGCTACCAGCACATTAACCACAGGACTCTGCTCCCTGAACTTCTGATGGCCCCACAGGCTTACAGGAAAACACGCTCTCTGTGGTTTAACCAGCCTCTGGTTGGCAGAGATCCACGGCTCTCCATCGGACTGAGTTGTGTCTCGGTCACTCCACTAAGGTGATGAAGTGTCGGACAGTTTAAAAGCTATTAGTAGAAAATGTAGGTGAGGCTGCTTTTCAGAGTAACAGTCATAAGTATGTGTGATACAGGAGACGTATAAATGCCAGTTTTTTAATATTTCAACATTTGAAGAAATAGTAGTTTTTTTGAACACTTTAAAAAGGGGATCAATTACAGCATTGTGTTCTACTCTGTTGGGGTTCATTTAGCAAAAAGGATGGGTCATTATGGGTGACATTATCCAGCATACAACACATGTTCTTACTGAAGAAATCTATCAAACTGGTTCCATAGCAATGATCTGTTTATCATATCAGTGGTTTCTAAAGAAATATCAGACTGCTGATTATCCAAAAATAATCAAGTATTCAACAAGGCTGTGTAAAAAATGTGATATACGTGTAAATAACTGATTCATGAAACTCTTTGCAACAAAGCAAATTTCCCTAAATGTCTAAGTGTGGAGTAAAAGCAGAATCAAGGCCAGGCGCTCCTTTGTCCATATTTCACAGACTAACCTTAAAGATGTCTGGCATTTACTTGCTGAGGGAAAGCCTTTTTTGGGCCACTCAGTGACCTGGGAGTGGGGCTAGGGGTAAGATTGGACCTGTACATATGGTTCTGATAGAGAGGGTAGATAACCAGCAGACGCACTGGAGCCATCCCTTGAACAGAGCAGGAAGTGTGTGGCGTGTCTGTCTGCTCCTGTTGTACTGTACACTGCGGTGAAGTTAGATTGAGCCTGGATATTTAACAGACATTCAATTTGGTCTCTTTACTCCGTTTCACAGACTGTCAGCAGTCAGAGGACTTCACCGCCATCCACTAAATTGATGATATTGTTGTCATTAACATTATAAACCCATAAGGACTCTTCTACTGTATTATGAACAGTGAAAAAGGGACAGTAAAGAGTCTTCACAGTCCAAATAGTCTCTTAAGAATGAAAGTCTCCCATGCACAGCATCAAAACAGCTTGATAGGGATCTGCAATTAAATCACATTCTTGAAGGATGTATACGTAGATTAGATTAAATTAGTTTATGGCAGTCTCAAAGATTTCTCTAATGGCCACATATCACATTTCATAAAGTGAGTTGTAATTATTATTCTGTACATCAATCCAAGAGCGTTTTCTATTCTGTAATGGTGAGTTTTACAGTGTGATAGGATCTTGGCAGAGGTTGATTAAAGCTGACATATTCAATAGTTGCTTCAGTGATGTTGTGGCCAGCATTAAGATCACAGATCCATCATCTGTCTTCAATCTGTCCTCCTACAGTGTGTATGTGAAGTGTAATTAGTTGTTTTAAATGATTGAAGCTGTATGCAGGAGGGAGTCTGTCTGAGAAAGTTCCTGTGAAGGCACGCCAAGCAGGGGGAGTGTGCATTGCTGCTTTATGGTCATGGATTTCATATAAAAAGTCTGATTCAACTCAAAATGATATACAGGTTCACATAAATCCTAAACGAGGTATTTAACTACCAGCAAAGGAGTCTGCATTGTTGTATACAGAAAATGACCCACATGGAGCCTCCAAAGCAAGAACAATAGTCAGGTCACAGTAACAGAAAACAGGAAGTAAAGATTATTGCTATACTGTTATTATCAATGAAGACATATGAACCTGAAAACAGAACAGATGCATTTTGATGTCTTAATAAAAAAACAGACTGATAAAGTATCTCGACCTCAGCCTTTCACCCATGGGATCACTGCCTGCCGACAGGAAGATTAATGTAGTTGTAAAACTGGTAAGTGTCTTCATAACACAGTCAAATAACAAGAGTTGAACCAAACCAAGAGTGACATTAATATTATTTAGGCCAGATATAAATACAGTACATTCACACTTATCAGACTTGATGACAGAATGAGGGAATGAATAAACAGCCATTGGTGCAGACTGCAGAGACACTATTATGTTGACAAGATGTTGGTTAAGGCAGTGAATTACTTACAGCTGACGCACTTTCAGAGGATACAAAGGTCAGGAAAACATAACCAGTTTATTGCTGGAACTTTGCTCATTTATTTCCACATGAGGTGAATGGACAATATCTTACTCAGATGTGAAGCGTTGAGCTGAAAGCAAACATGTTCAGGTAAGAAATCTCTTCCATGCCTTTCTGAATCTGATTGCAGAGTTAGTTTGTACTATTCTGTAGAGTCTGTCATACATTTAAAAGCTAAACATTAATCGAGACTCTCCTCACTTTCAGGTTTTCTCTAATAGTCTGTATTTCTCTGATATTTGGCGTCACAGCAAAGCCATATAAACCCTGGGTATGTATATATTGCTCCTGGCAGTCCACAATATTGCATTGCAGACTCTACAGCTTCAAATCATATGATAAATACATTTCCGATTCATTTAAAATGACAATCATGTTTGTGTTGGACAGCAGTCATGTAATATTTCTGCTTTCTTCCCAGAATAAACTCCCAGATGAAGCATTCCTGGATACCGTTATGTATGTTGTAATTTCCTTAAACTAAACCTAAAGTGAATAATTGTGTCTTGGACTGAGGAAGGGCAGACTGAGAGAGCATGTTTTATTTTTTTAAATCAGGTCTTTAGATGGCGAAGGAAGGATGTCCTGGGGAGTGGAAGTGGAGCCTCCAGAGGACATGGATGAGACTGACTACGACATCGACCCAGAGATGAAGATTTGGAAGAGCATGACAGGTGGGCAGGAAGAACAGCACCTAAAGGCAGAAGAAGACTTGGATGAGCTGTACCATCCTTCAGTGGTAGATCTCCTCAAAGTTGAATTTCAAAACCGTGATGCCCTCCCTGCTGCCGACATCCAGGCTGATCCCTGGCAGGAGGTTGCCAACTTGAATCAGGAACCAGAAGAGGATAAAGACGACGTCGACCACCCTGGTTTCGGTGAGGCGGCACCAAACGAGCCTGAGCAGGACTGGGACGAGGTCTACCACAGAGCGAGCGAGGAGCTGGCTGGATATCTCGCTCCACTCGTGGCCGGAAACAAACCTGATGCAGAGATCCGTGTTTCACACTCTGAACCAGAGAAGGACGAGCTGTATCACCACGACGACCAGGGTTCACCTGTGCAGAAGGAGCTGCTGAGCCGTGAGGTCGCGGGTGAAAGTGAGGTCAGAGTTCACTTTCAGCCAGAGGAGGACATGGACGACCTGTACCACAAAGACCTCCTGAAGCTCATCCCTCACCCGGCTGATACTGAAGCTGCTGCACCCGCTAACCCTAACCCATTTCAGAGGAGGCACAGCCAACCAGAGGAGGATCTGGATCATCTCTTCCACCAGTGATCCCTCAACCACAACCTAACCTGTGTAGAGCCCTCATCTCAGATCAGATACAACCTTAGCTGATGCACAGTAAATACATCTGAAGTGTCTTTTGACTTCATTAAACTGTCCTCATTAAGAATCAACTCTAAATCTCACTGTCACTTGTGTGTATTTTGTTATGTATGTGTCTATAGATACAGAGAAACATTGACGATGTAATGTACATCTAAATACAGATAATGATGATTTCCAAGACTCACTCGTTGATAGTTCAAGTAATTATTAAAAATAAATTCAATTGTAAAGACTTATAATCAGTGTATATAAGGTACAGTTTCTAATAATGACTAGGTGGTGTTGTGATAGCATTAATGGACAAGTTTATAAAGGACTCTAATGTTATAGAAAGCATTTAAAATCCTAAAGCTGCTTTCAGATGACATGTTGGTAATTACAGAGGGTTGTGCCTTTAATTGAGAGTGCAGTTTGAGAAAAGGAAGTCTTGAAGTGTTAAATTCTTAAGTGTTCCTCTGTACATGTCAGAATAGTGAAGCGCGGTTATAAAAGTGTTAAACATGGGCGAGGCTAGGTGGTTAGGACATATAAATAAGGTTGAAGGTTGGAGAAGACTATACATCTTTAGGATATTGTGATGATTAAATCTGAGTTGTCCTTGATCAAAAATAAACATTAACACATGTATCAAAGACTTTATGTGTTTGGTTTATTGAAATGTTTGTACAACACAGAAGTTATTAAGAAAAATACAAAATATTTTCTGATCCTTCAGATGAGTATTGACTATACATTAACACAGACAAATGATTTTTTAACTCTTCCCACTTCTGGTGGAAACTGAACAAATTTGAAAAAATATAAATGGAGGTGTGTGGCGCAGTAGGTTGTGCGTAGGTGTTCGGATCAGGGGGTCACAGGTTCAAACCCCACTGCAGTCAGCATGTCGTTGTGTCCCTGGGCAAGACACTTCACCCCAAATTGCTCCCGCGGGGATTGCCCACAGTATTGAGTATGCAAGTCGCTTTGGATAAAAGCGTCTAACAAGTGACATGTAATGTAATGTAATAAATTATTCCTGATTAGATCATCATTACTTAACGTGTGTGTGTGTCACTCTAAAAGGTCAGGAGAAATGACCCCCTTCTTCAGTATTAGGTTGCCGTACAGAGCCGTTTCCATGTGTAGACAGAGCAGACGGAAATGTTTATTTGCATTTTTAAAGACATGTTTTATATAGTTTCGAATAAGTAAATCAGGTGATGCATAATGGCAATTCAGTTTCATTTTCAGGCTAGTAAAACATTGAGCAAGTACTCATGTTTTACTGCTTACAGTATAAAGATTTGCTGATTAATGAACACAGAGAAAATACACGCTTCCTTGGCTCGTTCATAGAAAGCAAACCTTTCCACTTTCTCAATAGGACTCTATGTAAACAAACATCAAAGAAGGACTGTGTTATTCTCATTACTAACTGATTAATTTAATCATAAGGTTGTACTGGCTTTTTTACATAAGATCCAGCCTGATTCAGGAGATCTGAGTAGGTGTACCACACATCTTTTAACAGATCCATGACTGCAGCCTGTGGAGACATTTCAGCACAGATTCAACTAACTACATTTGACTAGTTAACAAGAGAATCCGATTGATATATGAACTCATTACTGCCATCGACACAACATTACTCAGTGGTTTTCACTTTATATGTATGGGTCCTGTACCGGAGAGGGGACATAGGTATCAAGAGGCAAGAGCTTCAAAATAGCCTTCAAAAGCTGTGGGATTCCCAAACCTGCACAAAGACCAGATACAGGTTTAAATACATACACATTCACCCAGTGTTTTAATTTTCAGTCAGATAGAGATGTATTAACATACCATCAGCTCTTATTTCTTTTGGACCACAGGCACAAATGGAGGATGTTGGAAAGTTTGCATCAGCAAGAACTAAATGAAGAAACAAAACACAAAGTCTGTGAACGACTGTGGCATTTGTCTTCAGGTTAGTGATCCTTTGATTCTATTTAACTTGAACTGTGATTAGCCTCCTGCCCTGCGTTATAGCTAATACTGCTAGCACAGCTGGCTACGCTACGAGAAAGGTGACATATAAGTATGTCATTAAATATCATACCCAGTTAATCCCCATGGCCCATTTTAGCCAAAGCATACAGCAGCTCAGGAGAAAATAGAGGGGATTCTTTCAGTAGCCACAGAGAGGAGAGAAGAGAAGCAAGAGCACTATCTCCGGCTTACTTCCGGGTTTGTTTACATCCGGTTTCGTTTCCCGTCTCGATATATAACTTTCTTGTCTTTTTATACGCAAGGAAACGCACCTAATTTGGTTAATTAGAGGGGCTATCCAGTCAAACTATAAACGTTTATTTTGGACTTTAATATTAAAAAAAGATGTTCACTATCCACAAGCATGCATCTGTTTTAGGTGATCGTTTCAGAATAATTACCCCACATAGGCCTACTTAAAAAGTCATTGCATGGACTCTTTGGAAAAAGGTAGTTACAAGTCATAAAAAATATACATGTAAAAAATAACAGGATTTCATAAAGGTAATTCAAAAGTTATAATATTATGTTAAAAAGAATCATAGCAAAGTCAATGTAGCCTTTTGGAGAATCTCATCAAAATGCATAGTAAAGGCTAGTTTGTCATAACAAGTTTTAGTTTAAAATGCCATTAAAAGTCATTCGAAAGTCTTAGTATGTTATTAAAAGGGTAACATCTAATTTAAAAAAAGGTATGCCATAAAGATATCACTAAAATAGTCAAGGTGTAGTATTTAAGAAGGTCATACAACGTTCATAACTCCTAAGGAAATGGCATGAAAAGTTGTAGTTCAGTATGCCATAAAGAAAGTACAAAAGTTAGAGTATTGTATGACATAAAAATATCATAGGTTATGTTACAAAAAAAGATTAAAGTATAGTAAACCATAAAAATGATATGGTGGAAGCCTATTTATATAAAGCTATACAATAGGGCCATGTCATTATTCTGACAAACTGCACAGTCGGTTAATCTTTGGTCTATGTTGTTTCTGACACCCTTGGGTGGGCATAATTTAAAGCAGACACCGGTAAATGTGTTATTCTGACACGGTCTCTGGTGCCAAGAATGTGAGATAATGAAAATATTTATCAGATGAAAACCACTCCACCCAGCCTGTTTCATCTGAGCTAGAGAAACTCTCAGCTGGATGGCAGAGAAATGCTGAGGAATCCTTTCTCTGACCACAGATTCTGGTTCTGTGAAAAAAGGAAAGGAAAGGAGCAAGAGATCTGCATATAAAAATACATTCATAAAAGTCACAACGTTTAGAATCTAGCATTGCAGGCTTGTGGTTTTATACTGAATTTAGAATACAGCTGCTGTTAATAGGACAAACATGTTGGTAGCATATAGGCCTTCACTTCATGCCCTGTTTAAATCTGCAAATAATACATGTTTCATACATTTCTGCATTTCAAAATAACTATGTATTTAACAGAACACATGTGTTTTGTGCAAATTGTTCTGAAAGAAATCAAACATAACAAAACCAACAAAACACAAATCCTTGTCTTGGGAACAAGGCTTTGTTTAATAAGCTGCAAGGTATAAATTCAGCTCTGAAAACAATTACCACTCCACATGGCAGAAATTCCACCACAGAGAAATGTAGTCAAATAGTTTATAGAATAAAATACAAAAACATTCATTTTACTCAAACATACATATATAAACCGGATAAACTGATAATGCTGCAGTGGTCTCTACATTTTGTTCAGAGCTGTATGATGTGTTTAAACTTTAAATCGGTTTTGGGGTGTTTCTTGTGTTGAGTTATTTAAACAATAGGCCTAATAAAATCCTATTTTTTATATAAGGGTTGGCTGCATAAGAATATAAACAAGATTATACTTAAAACAAAGTGACTAAAAGAGTGCAGTTTAAGAATATGAGAGTGTTTTTTGGCTGCCTTCACTCAGGCCCTGCAGGAGCCAGGCCTGTCTGCCCGACTGAAAGCCCTTTCTCCTCCTCCGGACCCATGCTGCTCCCTCTTTATTTCGGCTTCTTTAAATGAGTTTATCACGCTATGAGGGTCTCCGCTGCCAAAATGTAACGTTTGGCCCCCTTTGTCTGTATGGAGAGCTTCAATTGAGTCTACATTTATTATTTTGACCTTTCGGTAGCCTCAAAGAGGAGCTTCTTTTCGGGCCCTCTCTGCGGACTTTTGTGCTTCCCTGCCGAGTGAGGAGACGAGTTTTTTTCCCCTCCTTTTAAAAGTTTTGTTCCAGAGGGCTGACAAGAAAGCAAGCTCCAGGGGAATATTGAATGAAAATAAAAATCAATTAGGCCATGGCCTTGTGGAGATATGGGGCGCCGCCGTGTGAAGATCAGAGAGAGAAAAAGGTGCCTTGCGATGGTTGGAGCGGAGAGAGAAAGCGCACACTAACCACATTTGTTCTGGTCTTTTCTTTGAAGTCAAAAGTATCGTTTTAAGTGTTTCCAAATAGTTTCAACCAATAGTGATGCCCGAGATTTAAAATATAGCCTTGTAAGTCGTGTACAACCATGCAGCCTACTTTTTTCAGTAGGCTATATTTTCTGTTAGAGTAAATTATAATTCATCTAAATATAGGCTACAATTTAATCACAGATCTTTATTAATGTTTTTCCAAAAGACTATTAAACGTTTTTACAACCAGCCTTTTAATTATTTGATTGCGCAGTGGAAAACCTTGGCCTATTATAATTTTAAGTAAAGAAATCACATGTCAGTTTTCCCTTCTGATGACGGTTTGTTTTGTAAAATAGTGTTACAGACATATTGCATTTAAAAAACAACTTTTTTTTTAGTACCGCATCTGAATAATTATGATTTTTTGAAATAGTATTTTAATGACATGACCTTTTAACTGTCACTTTACTACTACGAGCCTTCAGCCCGGTGCGTGTCAGTCCTGCTGGATTTATATCTGTCCAGTGTCTGTGCACAAGAGCCCCCTCTGGTGGTGAGAGGAGCACGCCGATTGAACGCTGGGTGAACTGAATCCACTAGTCATTACAGTCAAGTTACTTCTAAGTTTCAGTTATCTGGCTGACACTTTTTACCTAATTATATATCTCAATTCTCAAAAAGAAAAACAGACTGTTAAATAAAAAACCGAGTTACAATGTAAATTATATGCAAACATTCTGATTACCTAACATTATAAATATGTAGAAACATCCCAAGGTAGACAGTTTGTTAAGAGTGCCACAGTGACGCGTCCTAAAACCCGGAAGAAAGCTGCGCATGGGTTCCTTCGACAAAAAAGTAGATTTGATTCGATTTTCGAATCATAAATCTATCGATCATACATTTATCGATTAGATTTATGATTCGAAAATTATAAAAGTAGGGTAGACATGTGGAGATTATTCGACTGAACAAAACGTGATCAGTCTCTTAAATGTGTGTCAACCACAGACCTTATTTCGAGCTATTTTCCAAAATCCTATGGAGAAATTGCATTGCTTTTTTGTCGAAGGAACCCATGTGCAGCTTACTTCCGGGTTTTAGGACGCGTCACTGTGGCACTCTATAAGCAGGCACATCTTTCCATTTGTGTTCATTTCTCACTCACTGAGATTTATTTGTAAAATGTACAGAGAAGTGTGTTGCCTTCAAAATGCAGACAAACATTTGAAAGGGAAAAATAAAAAGGCAGTTAAGTCATTACAACTGATTCCTCCTATTGCACTCCGGCAGAGTTATAAAGTATTATTCAAATTCAAACGCCAGTGCACGTCTTGCACCCAGACTGCTTTTGATTTTAATACCAAACTTTGCAAGTAGAGCTTCAGTGTGATAAGACACTCCGGTGCAAACTCTTAGTACCAAATCCTAATTTAAACATCTTGTATGCTTCAATACAATCAGGATTTGTGCACCATTCAGCTTGTTGCAGATAAGGAAATTATCCGCTGATATCAGGAACTTTGTGTTATTGGCCGAGCTCTTGGTCTGCTCTTTTCTAATTGTCCTGGAAATTGGCCTTTCTCTTCTCCACAAATGCTGTCATGCCTTCTTTACGATCCTCCTGCAGGGGAAAACAGACACACACATCATGACTGAACGGTCAAAATAAAAAACAATCCCCTTTACTTGCTCTCAGGTGGGCTCTTCTACTCACTGTAGCAAAGGTAGCGTGGAATAAGCGCTTCTCCAAACGATTACCCTCAGCCAGAGTCAGTTCATAAGCTGCAATCACAAGTAGAAGACGTCAGACAATATATTAACGTATTCAATTTAATAGGTTTAAGGATATTTCATAAAATGACTAGATGATTAACTTTACACACCTGCGTTCACAGCTTCTTTAGCCATAGCAGACACCAGCTTGGAGTTGGCAGCAATTTTCTCACCACATTTCACAGCTTCCGACACCAACTGGTCGGCAGGATACACTTTACTCACCAGTCCTGGAAACACAACAAGCTACTGAATTAAGTATGACAAATATATGAAAATAGTATCTAATGTGTAACCCGGGTGTAAATAGCATTGTTAGCTACGGAAACCCGGGTGCAAATAGCATCTGCCAAACTTTTTTCCCTATCCTTCTGGTGTTCCCAAAGTTTCCTCCAATCAGGTGTGTTTTTTTTACACCCTACTGCTAAGCTACTACAGCAGCACAAGGGAATTAAGTTATCAAAGAAACATTTCCATAAATACCTATACATCCAAAACAGTATCTAATGTGTAACCCGGGTGTAAATAGCATTGTTAGCTACGGACACCCGGTTGCAAATAGCATCTGCCAAGTGTAATACCATCATTTCTGTTACCTGATTGCCGGGCGACTTCTGCATTAATTTTGTCTCCTGTAAGGACCAGCTCCATCGCCAGGGATTTTCCCACCGCACGCGTCAGCCGTTGGGTGCCCCCCGCTCCTGCAGGAAGACGAACATCATGAACTCCAAAAGCAAGAATCTGGTAAACTTTGCATAAGGAAGTCTAGTCTGAACAGGAAGGAAAGTGGATGCTTCAGAGTGTTTACCAGGAATGGTCCCCAACAGGATCTCTGGCTGGCCGAACTGCGCCTTCTCCCCGGCGTAGATGATGTCACACATCATCGCCAGCTCACAGCCTCCACCCAGCTGAAACAGAAACGTACATTATGAAACACAGAAACAATTACACAGACAGTAGACTCACTCTTCATTGTGTCATAGCCTATGGTCATAGCCCATTTAAATGCTGTGCATCCTGGAATGATACTGGATTTGTTGTGTAAAGAAGTTGCACTATAGAGCCGAAAGCGTGTGGACACTACTGCTTTTTTTGTCTCAAGTTGTTAAGCTGTTTTGTGGTTTGGGTTTGCTTTTCGTTAGGGTAATGAAAGTGTCCCAAAGTAAGTGGAATTTGTTTAATTATATCTTGACATGCGGATAAATTCTGCTCTAAAAAGGGGGTATAACTGAAAGAAAACTCAGCTGAAATTAATGATCCAATGAAGGAAGGAAAAAATAAATAGTGGGAGATTGGAGAGGGAGAAAAATTGATTTGAGAGAGGAAATATAGGTGAAAGGGGGGACTAGAAGAACAACAGGTTAAATATTGAAAGATAAGAAAACTAAAGATACACATGATAAGACATGTGGAGAAAACCTTGGAGCAGAAATAGTAAACACATATCATTACTTTCTATTATAAATGTTTACAATCCAGTTGTCTTTTCCCTCTCTCCTTTTTTAATGCTTTGAACATATTATTATAATTTTTAATTGAATCTTTGCATAGTTTTCTTTTATCAGAAGAAATCCAACAACCTATCCTCAGTTAACAAAATTAAAGAAACTCACAGCAAATCCATTGACGGCAGCAATCACAGGCTTCTTCACCGTGGACACTCTGTTCCAGTGAGCCAGGAAGTTTCCACGGTAACACTCCTGGAAAGTTCGATTCTGCATCTCTTTAATGTCCGCTCCAGCTGAAAAAACACATACGCTTAGTTCCCTGCTGATACCTTATTGTAAGCAAACCCATAAAACACACTCAGGTCCCTCACCGGCAAAGGCTCTCTCACTGCCGGTGATGACGATGGCCCCGACCTCTGTGTCAGCTTCGAAGACATCCAGGGCCTGTCCCAACTCCCTCATCAGCCCGTCACACAGAGCGTTGAGGGCCTTGGGCCTGTTCAGCTGGATGAAGCCCACATCACTCTTCGCCCCGCGCTTTTCCACCAAAATGTACTCATACTGAGCACCTGCATGAAGAGGGAACCAACATTGGTCAGATAAGAATTCTGTGCAATTAGATAAACAGTTTCTGCAGAGTTCACAGAGCTAGATTTTGAACGTATAACAACAATGCAACACAAAAGTTTGATTACTATTTAAACAGCATGTCCTTTTTGATGGGGAACTGAAGCCATTGTATCCATCCAAGCTGTTCTCAAAGAAACCTCCCTCCATTGAGTGAAACAGTAACTTGCAGAACACTGAGGTTTCTGGGCCACGGCTGTCACGATTAGTTTGTTTATGTTACCGTATGACTTTGTACCTTCTGTGTTTGTTATAATGACGAGGGGACATGCAGACCACCATAATCTGTAGGTATGACAGTGGATAACCTCATGTTATCCTATTTCCAAACATCTAAACTATCCCTATAGCTTTAACTATCAATCAATCATCAATCGGTCAATGTGTATTTAAATAGCCCTATATCACACATTTTACATTTGTCTCAGAGGCTTTACGGCTTGTACAGAAAACGACACTCTCTGTCCTTAAACCCTCACATTGTACAAGGAAAATCTCCCAAAGAAACCCCACAGTTAATGGGGAAAAAAATGGAGGAAACCTGTGTCGTGTGTATACATTAGGAAGAGAATACGTTTACAACATAGACAGTCCAAATGTTAAAAAGGATAATGTGTTTTTATAAACCTCTATAACTATAACTGGGAGCAGCATAGACTTTCAACTACATGATCATCACCAACGTGCTCTGTGTCCTGGTTAATCATTCTAGAAAAGGTGAAGGATCAACTCATTGGCTCATGGTTTTATTGCGTCCTTGGAAGCCCCTGATATGCCTTGTGGAACAAAGGTACAAACTCAAGTCATGGATTGTTGCCTGCACATTGATATACAGTAAGTCATGGATAGATAGATAAAGATGGAAAATGTATACAAATCAAAATCAAACAGCCATTCGAATGTTTGATCATCTGTGCATAATTATATTCCAGGGTTTAATGGAGGTATGTTGATAATACCTGTCTTCACATCAACGACTCCTGTGAGGAGAAGGTCAAGAGCCACATGTTTCCTGGTGTACAGATTGCTGATCACTTCAGGAGGACACACTAAACTTCGCTGACCAAGAAAGCAAAACAGCATCTCTACGGCCTGCAGAGTGACACCCATCCTGTTCATGTTCAACAGAGGGTCACTTCATGTCTGACCCCGAACTCTGTAAAATCCCCCTGACAGCTGTCACATTGTTATTTAGCCACTGCAGGATTTGTCTCTGAATATAAATAATCACTGCAATGTGCACTCAGTATTTGTTACGTCCTAATCATCTTAAGTATACTTTAATGTGGGAGTTTTTCTTTGATGCATAGTGATGTTATATTGTATTTTTGCATATGATTCAGCTTTGTGTTGTGTCTTTTGGGACCTTATTGGAACAAGTGTTTTTACTACAACACGTTATTCTTTTGAATTTGTAGTATCGAAAATCATCACATCAAACAAAAACACATCATAAATGATATCTGGGCTGCACAAAGTTATAGAAATAACAACTATAAATTCAATTGTAGGGTGTAATTCCCCTTTAAAAGGCAAGGGTTTTCGTGTGAACAACATGTTAGAAATGATCTGATCCATTCAAGTTTAGAGATCTCTTTGTGTTGCAAATGACAGAAAACACAGACAACTAAATAACCAACTTAGGGATCCAGTCTGCTCCATATGCGTCGCACATGGACATTCGGTGACGCAGGTTTCTTGACATTGTAGCAGGGCCACTTCACGTAACAGTTATGCAGGTGCAATACACACTTTGACAGTGTTTGAACACACACCTGAGCTGTAGAGGCGGGCAGCGGACAGAACAACCGGCGCTGCTCGGGAGGACTTCAGGAGGGAGGCAGCACTTCTGCAGAGGAAAGCCATGACAGCGACTACACAACGGAGGTATGTTGTCAATGAACTTGCTCCAATAACACGGGAAGCTCCTTCCGCTCACCTCCTCTTCTTCGTTGGTGTTTTTCCTGAAGTCGTATGTTCCTTGGAGTACTACTGCCACCTAGCGTCTGCAAAGTGTAGAACAAGATGTCATTACCTTCAAATCAATTATCTCAGCTAAACAAAACAAAACTGTATTTGTTGTCTATGTTATATCATGCAGTACAAATAAACCTTATACATATACAAGTTTAAGAAAACATACAAAAGGGGGGAGGATTAATATAAAACAATAGCCTACAATAAAGGACAAAGCACTATCATGATTCAAATAAATATGTAGGCCTATAGACTTATTGATTTTCAGATTTGTTTTACCAATTTTGCTTGTGTTTGTCTTTTTTCAATATCCCATAATATTCAATGAAAAACACATTCAATATTCACGCGAGATGCGCGTTCTCCTTACGTGAACGAGCCTGCATCGTCCGTGACAATCCCCTCTCATTTTTTCCTCCGAGTGCAAAGACCCAAGCAAGGATAAAACAGGGAAAAAAGGTAAGCTCCAGCCGTTATGTCAACCTGTAGGCCTATGGTAGGCTATACCGTATAATGGTTAACGTGGACGTGGGTTTAGACCATATGGATGCAATGCATTTCTTTTTAAATGGTGGTGTGATTCGGGTATTTTGGGTAACGAACAGGCTAATTTATGAGAATACAATGAGATGAACATCAAGCATTTCAAATCGTGTATCAAATCATTTTGTTGAAATCGTACGTATAATAACGATCATACGTCCTACATTTCTATAGTTCCCTGTTAGAACAAAACATTCGGACTAAATGTCATATGATGGCCTTTTAATGACAGCAATATAGCCCAACATATTTTGCCTATTTTATAATCATCCATAGGCGGAATGTTAACTCATGAAGCAGCAACAGCAATCTTCTGGTGAAAATAATTATTTTTAACCTGACCTACTTAAACGAAGAGGGGCAACTGCAATGTTTTTGTTATGGAGACACTGAATACAAGATCTCACACCTTTGATGATGAGCAGTGTATGCCTATTCCTTGCCATGTTCAGAGCATGTCACTCCTTATATTCTGAGTTGTATACAGAATTGATCAGTGAAAAAGAAAGGATGGCTGTTTGCCAACTCAAATCAGATCTTTATGTTTTGCAGTAACATAAAACATATGGGTTATTTCCCCATTTTAAACTTCAAATGTGTATTCTAACCACCACGTCTAACATTTCTCCATTATGTCTTCTTCCTGCAGATGTCGGGGATGAACCGGGTGGTTGCAACATGTTGGACTTGCCTCCTGCTCGCTGCTTTCCTGTGTGAGCCGGTGCTGTCCAAAGGGGGACGTGGAGGGTCCCGTGGCTCCTCTCGAGGCACCCACTCCCGGAGCTCCTCGGCGGGGAGTCAACGGGGGTCCGGGCCCTACGGAGGGACCCGCTCCCGCGTCCGGGCTGCGGGCCGGTCCTCCCCGGTGAGGATCGCAGCTGCAGCGGCAGCAGGGGCGGCGGTGGCGGTGGCGCTATCAGCGGATAAATGGTATGCCTCTGCCTACAGACGCAGCAACGCAGACAGCTCCGAGGACGTGGATTACTACAACAGGACCAATTACTTTGATTCACAAATGTCAGGCTCAACAAAAAATGGATATTCTCTTCCTCAACTGGTTTCTATCATTATTGCAACATTTTCCCAAAAATATGGATTCTTTCAAGACAGTATACTGTAGATGTTTAGCTTGTTTTTTAGGATGAATTCCTGATTCTACCCTGGATCTGAATATAATATGCAGGAATGACAGGAAGCTGCACTGGGAACATCAGAGGTGCAACACAGTGGTGGATGGACACAAAAACATAAATACTGTATATTTTGTACACATATCTTCTAGGCTATACCAACAAACACATGTATCCAACCAGTATTCAATGTGACCTTTCACCTTTAAAGTAGTGCACCTTTGTCAAGTCAGTGTTGGATATACAATGACACAGAACTTTAATAAACATAATAACTAGTTTCCTTCCCTAAAGCTTGATTCCTAGACCCTATTGTGAAAATGTTTTATCAGGATTATCAAAAATAGAAACACCTTGATAAGGACTGTTATCAAACTGTGGGCTGCCACATTAAATAGTACTGTAAATCTTAATTTAAAAATACATCTGTTTTCATAATATACAAAAAAGAAATGTAAAGGTAAAAAAAACACAGCATCGCTGTTTCGCACAACTAAATCATATTTATGACCAGACCTGGATCTAAACATAAAGCTTGGACTATCTGGAATTTATGTAGAACACTGACGTTTTTCTGCCCCTGAAATCGAAACAACTGCCACCTGCAAGACTGCATTTCGAGCCATGAAGAGGATTCTCTACAACAAGACAAGGCAAATTAAAGTTAACTGCATTTTCATCAATCATCTTGAATTTCTGAACAATTTATACCCTTTTATAACAACTGAAACTTAGCTAATGAATTTCTCAGATTTGTGTACACACCACGTCATGGCTGGGAGAAAAAAAAAACTGCTGCCCTCACTGTTATTAATTTCTCTCATGATCCGTCCTTCATCCAAGAAGATTTTTTTCTACCAGGAGACACTCAGGAGCAACAGACTGTTCCATATAAATTAACTTTATTACAACACTTATGTACATAGGTTGAGAGTTTGTTATTACTGTCTTTGTGCTAATAAATATAATGTTTACACCTTGTCAGATCAGATATCTGCTTCATGTCTTATAAAAGAAGAAATGTACCTGAATTAAGATGAATTATTTTATTTGCAAAGGACACAGTGCTTTAATACATCATCTATAAACAGAACAGACTGCATCATGTCCCCAAAAGGTCAAAGGAATGAGGTCAGAGACGAACCTTGACGACACTTTTCAGTTAAATATAAATCCTTCCAGACTGAGGGAAAACTTATGAAACCAGAAACAGTCTCTGTCTTCATTCCAATGTCTCAGGTCAGTCGAGCATTACCTGTCCCAGCTCTCCTTTCCTGAAGGCTCTGATTAAATCGTAAGCTGCTGCTGAGCAGTTTGGGACCGTGATGGTGATATCCCCTGAGGGAGACAAGGAATAAACATATGTATTATGGGTCTAATAATACATTAAAATGATGGCCATAACACCTTCAAACTCATGTCAGGAAATATAATAAGGCAAAACATTGTACTATATGTTTAACTTAACTAAGAGATCGCTAGTCAATAATACTGTGTGTAGCAGGAGTTGAATTAGCATTTTCTTACCAACTCCAGTAATGGCTTTGACCCGTTGCGTCTTTCCGAGTTTCACAGCAATGCGTTTGAGGACATACTGGATGTCATCGCTTGGCTCCTGGAGACCGTATTTCTCCACATAACTGCACATAAATACATACGTGAAGTAAACAATCACAGCAATGTGAAGACAAAGTAATACACAAACCACACAAAAGTATTGTCAATCCTACCTGAACTCCCCGAGCCTGTTTAGAGAATAGAGTAAGTAGTCAGCAATGATCTCTTCACCCACTAAATGGTCCAGAATAGTTCCTGGTGTAGAAAGAAAATATTAAAATATTTGTTGAGCACAATTAAAAACCTCCTTTACCAACAAATGTGATATAAATTCCAATGAATACTATTATATTGGTATGTTGTGGGAAACAATAATAATCCTGTGCTGCTCACCACATAAAGCCAGCTTCATGCCGGTTTCAACACTCTCAATCTTAGGAGGCAGGACTCCTGGTGTGTCCATCAGGTGCATTACGGGTCGCGAACACACCTGGGGTCAAATATAGAAACAAATATTGTACAGATGCATACACACACAATGAACCCATGAAATCACAGTGTTTTACATGTCCTCTACACTCACCTGAATTCTAGTCAGGACTGCTCTAGTTATACCTGGCTCCCCACCTACTCGAGATGCACGACCTGAAATGTATTACAATTGTTGTTTTTTTAAAGAAGGTTATGATTATCCTGAATTGAACCTCAATAAAAATCAGCAAATGCATTATACAAACCTTTTTTCATGTATGTTCTTCTCAGTGAGTTAATAAGAGATGACTTCCCCACGTTGGGGACTCCAATAGCCATCAGACAATAATTTGTATTCTGAAAGATTTACATGACAAGGTTAGAGCATGGCCAACAAATACATTGTTAATAAATGTTGTGTGAGTCACAATGAAAACAGTGTTTTGGTTAGCAAGGATCATATCTGTGAGGGTATTACTTATTAGTTATATGTCTTGTATCTTGCAGTTTATTTCTCTCATAACTAAAATTAACACAAAGTATAATTAAGCTTCCTGGGACACATACCTCATCTCTGTTAAAACGTGGATTGTTCTCAATAATGTCAACCACCATTGGCACCAACTTCAGGAACACAAAAAAGGAATACGTTTCATGCTTATTGAATATCGGCTTATGACAAAAATCTGCAAAAAGACACCTGTCTGGTATCCAGTGGAGATGACATCTACCTTTTTGACGTTGTCGTCTCGCTGCTTTAAACAGTCTGTGAAGAGAACATTTTTCACCCCGTTTCTTTTAAGCTTCTTCAGGATTATCTGCAGGGCAAATGTTGTTTGTTAGAAAACTTTAAAATTATGATGACATGTGACTCTGTAAAGACAGCAGTAAGACATTTCACCTGCTCCTTGGACACATCGGCAAGGTCCATCTTGTTGAGAATTAGCACGTGGGGTTTGACATCTAGAGTCTCCTGAAACGCTGGGTTTCTCCCAGAGAAGGGGATGTCGGTAATATTAAGGAAAAATCCAATTTGTTTAACCTCTGCAGTAAAAAGAGGTCAAACGCTGGGATTTTCAGCAAGTGTAAAGACAAGGGCTCCTATACTCTGCATGCAATAATGTCCATGTGATGGTTATGGCACCTTTAACAGTTTTATCTTTAAAACCCCACTTTCAGAAATGTGATCACGCTATAAAGATATGAGTTGTAATTCTCTTGATTTTATTTAGGTATGATCGTTTTTTTTACTAACTTCAATTGTTTAATTTATTATTAAATGTGTTTAACCTTATTTTATTAAAAAAAAGAAAAACTTTGCACTTTTCCCTGTCGTATCCTGGCGTTGATACAATAAAGGATATTCTGGCATCATGTATTTCTATGATGCAGTCCACACTCTTGAGGTTGGCTCTCATCTGCTTCAGTCCTGTAAACGGTGAGGTGAAGATATTACACAGATTCACACATTGTAACACACCCATTTCAAATGCATAGATTATTTTATATACTCTGGAGTAACGTTTTGAGGCTGTCACCTTTAGCCATGTGTCCCGGGAACCAGTGAGCTACTTCCCGTGCACCAAAGTCGAAAGAGGTCCTGAAGCTCCCGACATTACGGAGAGCCTGGTACAGTCTCATGGCTGCTGTTGCTCTAAATATCACCACGCCTGGCTTTCGTTTTTTAAATTATTTTAAATGACTGGCTACAAAGGACCTTTCTGCAATGGACATGTTGATGGTGTGCATCACTGTTTACATGCCGACTTGAATCTAAAGGCGAGGAAGAACTCGGTTCCGCTGAAGACTTCTTCGGTTTTGATTTATTTGCAGTTTTTACACCACAGGGTGCGTTACTCCCCCTCCACAGGACAAATTATGAATTACTTGCTAAGTACAGATCCATGTAAAAAATAATTCTCAGCATTAAAAAAGTAAATGGAAATATATAGTAGTCAAGAAGTAAAGCGGCAGCAAGAAATACATTACAATTGTAAAAACTGTACTTTATACATTCATGGGCTCTATTTTTTTCGTCCTTTACTATTGTTAACACAAATGGATGGCTTCAATAGTTCTTAGCCTTTCTATTTCTCTCTCTAGGTTATTTTTCACGTTATGTGCCGTTATGCCTGTTTAAAATAAATATTGTAGACTAATTTCCTCTAATCCATAATACATAATTTCCTCTAATCCATACTTTCTTGGTTGCCCGTCAGTGAATAGTTTGTAGGTGTAGGCTACACAATATTATTAGTAATGAATCAAAAATGAAAAACAGATTAACAAAGTGTTATAAAAGCGAAAAACAATAAGGCAACATATTGTCAGGTACAAACAATAAAATGATTAGGAAAACATTATAAGTGAGATGGAACTTTATTAATAGTTTTTCACATAGGTTTGAGATTAACTCACTGATTTAAGAGAGAACTGGTCAAACAGATTATTGAAAAATATACAATTTATAAAATCTGATAGATAATTACAATCAATGTATACATATAATATAATGAATATTTTATAATAAATTCAGCAATATGGATATTTGAAAACTGCTAGATTAGAGTTCAATCATTCTTTAAATACAACAAATCAAAGACACAAAATCACAACTAATTTTTTGCATTGATATGAAGATAACATGTAAACAAGATTACTGTCTAACTTCAATATTAATTTTCCTGATTGTACACAAGCACGAATGCTCTCCATTGCTGATTGGCTGAAAAGAATGTGTGACTTGGTCCAAGCTTCTTGATTTTTTCCCCATTTACAGATCCTGTAAATACATGCTGTGTAAGAAAACCAGATTTTCTTTTAGCCCAGGCAGCGCAGACGATTGGGTGATATTCGGATTAGAATAGCTGAAAGCGCCCTTAAGTGACTGATTTAAATAACAAAGCAGCAATGTTATTTTAAAGCTTTGACTTGGGTGGTTCAGAGGTACTGATGGCGGAATAGTGAGAGATGAGTCTGTCAGCTTCTCTCCACCCAGTAAGGAGAGCTCCGTGGACGGTGGAGTAGTAGCAGGGATGAGTCGCCTCTCCAGCAAATAACACCTGCAGGGGCTGAAATACACCAACTAGTTACAAGTAGGTCTTACAACTTGGTCTATCATATAATGTGAGTCTGTGTTTTTCCTAAGTGCACACAATTGTGTTTGAGAATGAACACGTTGTTACTTGTAAAAGTGACCCCTTGGTAGGCAGAGGCTCCATCATGTTCTCCAGGTCCTGGGCTGAACAACCTTTTCCTGGGTAACTGTAAGATCCACATGTCCAGGGGTCATGAAACCACTGCGAGCGCAGGACTCTCCTCGGGGTGACGGTCGGGTTTCCTAAACACACAGTTAGTCTGGGAGTGCTGACAGAAATCATTCTTAACTTACGTTTTAGACAGAAAGCCTCCACTTTTAAAAGAAAAAAGGTACATGCTAAAATGCAATCTGTACTGAATTGTTGCTCAATCTTTGAGACATATTTAGGCTCACCTGTGAATCTGCGGATGAGTTGTGTCATGGTGTGTGTGACCTCTTGTTCAGACAGGGTCTCCATATACTCTGACTCATGGCCAGCAATCCAGCCACAGAGAACATGGCCATACCTGAAAGTTAAACAACAAACATGACTGCATCCATTATCAATGTATTTATAATTTATTTTTTACAAAAAAACAAGCAACCGCATTTGTTGACCTTTCAGAGGGTTTGAGCACAGTGAAGCCAAACAGCTTCTTTATCCAGGATCTCTGTACATCTGGCACCTGGTCCACCATGCCATCCTGAATCACAACAACAGAGGAAACTGTTTAATAGTGTGTATGTGTTAGACATTTTTGATAACTGGTTTGGAATATGTGTGGTTGAAAAATAGGACACAATGTTTTGAAGAGATGTCTGCATGCAACCCTTTTCTAGGGCAACCCTGACCCAGATTACACAAGCAAAACCAGCCCAAAAATTAAGACCCTAGCGCTAGGGAAAACTTTGTTTTAAAATGACTATTCTCCTAGGTAATTAGGTGTCCCTGTCTGTCTCTTTATTCAATGACTGCACATCTCACCTCATCTTCCCACACAAGATATATGACCTCACAGTCAGCATCCCACCACGGTGAATCAAACTCCACATATATTTTATTGCTAGTTCCAAATCCTAGTCTCTCTACAGAGTGCAGCTTGTGTAGAGGGAGAGGAGGACTGAACAGGGTTGAATGGTGCTTCTTAAGATATCCTGTAAAGAACAGCAGATCACAAGAACAGAGTTGTAGCACAACCTAAACATTTCATGCACTGAGATGGAAAATACCAAACTGTGTTTGCTAATATACGTCTCTGAATCTACCTAGAGGTACAGTGACAATGACATGATCAGCAGCTATCTTCTTCTCATCATCACATTCGATCATCACAGAGTTTTCTTCCTTCTCTGTGTTGTTCCAGTGGACACAGCGAACAGGCCGGTTGTAAGTCACCAAATCACTGGGGAGCTCCGACATCAAGTTTTTGATTAGACCTTCATAGCCACTGTGTGAAAAAGAAAATTATATTTAGGTCAATCAAAAAAGACAAAAGTGGGCTGAAATGATCAGATTGAATAATCTACTACTCATAAACCAAATAAACCAAACTATCTATGTGTCAGATAAAGCTACCGGGGAGTAGTTGTTGGAGTCAGATCATATCTGGGAAAGAAGATTACTGTCAGGCTAAATGGTGTTTTGTTACTTCACCTCTGTCTTAATCATGGATTGGACATTAACGGCATGTTTGGGTGATGCATAAGTGTACTTTTTATCAAAAGAAAGCAGCTCCTTTGAGTCAAGCAATTGCATAACATGACATTACAAATTACATTTTTAACATTCAAATGTATAGGAAATAAGGTCTTATGGAAATGAATTATAGAAATAGATGATAGTTGCTGTACTATATGTATGCAATGTTAAAGTACGAACCCTGGGAATGTGCAGTCGAGCCCAGGTAGAGTCTTGTATAGACCGTAGGCCCCTAGGCCCACCTCATCCATACTGTGAGCCCCATTAACACAGCACTCGACCTTCAACATGTTACTGATCACGCACAGTCGCAGACATCTGGTAGCTGCATCGATATCTTTCCACTTCTCTGCTGCTTGTTGTTCAGCCTGGGCCAGAAAACAAGACACAAAACAAACTCCTTTGTCTTACAAGATGAAATTTATCCTCAAAAACATCTGAAATATTCAAGCCAATCTTGTCATCATCCAGTGTTATTATTGTAGTCGCTGAGAGAAATGTACCTCTGAACGTATGAAATCTCCCACACAGGCCCAGGGTTCTCCACCCTGACTCTCAAATTTTGAACCTTCACTCATCAGTTCAAGAAACATCTCCTGAGCAGGATAGATATCCTCTGCATTCAGCTTCCTACCTGCAAATTACACATCCCAGAGAAAACTAATAAGGAAAACTCTACAGTACCACGTAACTAGTCAATATTAATTGGATGTATCTGAAGGGTCAGTCTTAAAATAAGCTACAATTTTGCCAATATCTGACGACATTCAGATACATTTTTCCTTATCCTAAAGCTTCTAGAGGTACATTTGTGATTGTGTGCTATATAACAAAAATGTACTTGACCTGAACTGCTGAAGAAGTTGGGAACCCAGGGGGGATGTCCCTCAACATCCATGGCCTGGTTCTCTGGTGTGAGGGCATCTGGTTCCAGCAGCCCATACTGACGGGCCAGACAAAACACTGGGTTCTCTTCAGACGGTCCATGGATCCAATTTGCCCCTATCTCAATGATATTATCACCTGCAAAAAATTAAAAAGTAGAGATTGAAAAAAAGGATTATTAATCTAGTTGGGTTTTTTTGTTTCTTCAAAGCAATGCTTTTGTTGTTTTTTATTGATAGGGTTAGACAGCAGGCCCTTGGTCCCCTCCTTTTATCTCTGGACACGTATTGACTTGGCTTTCATTGCTTCTCTTACGACAGTAACGCAAATAATACAAAACTGATTCTGGTTTTTTTCTGAAACCCAGGAGGTCACACACATCTGTGCTTGTATGGCTCACATCTCTCAGTGCAATGTTTTTGCACAACCTAAAGCGCAATCTAAACAAGACAGATCTGCTCTTCCTTGCAGGTAAGGACTCTCCCATCCATGAGCTTTCTATGAACATTTTGTTGTTATATCTCTCACAGGCTCCGCCCTCTACTGGACTCTATGGGTACTACCCTATCATGCAAGCATTCACCTACTGAGATTTCTATAGACGTAGCCGGCCCCGGGGCGGGCTTACCTGAATGCGTGCGCATCTCACTTCCGTATAAAAGGAGGCCTCGCCTCCTGACCACCATCCTTTACTCTTCAGCGAGCGGAGGTGATAGCCTAGCACTGAGTCCGAGACGTATTATTTGAGAGAAAGGAAGAAAGTAAACGAGTAATCTTTGAAATCATGCCCTGGATTAAATAGCGGGTGTCGATCCCCACCACCTCTGCTGCGAGTGTGCCAGGATATGGCCGAGGCGGTGCAATTCACGTTCACCATTCCTTCCGGGTCCGGCGTCCATGGAAGTCCACTGCCCAGGGCTGTACTCTCCCTGGATGATGATCATGGCGGCGGATGTGTGGGCTACTCGCTCATTGCTAGAGATGCCCCCGCCTCACAAGGTCAGAGCGATTATTGGGCCGCAAGGCCGAATAAGTAGCTTGGTCCACGGGCCTTGCCCCAGGCCTCGGTGGCTTCACATGATATAGGGGCGACCCTACTTCATCACAGGCCGCCGCCGCTGCCTGCCGTGTGATGTCCCTGGGATATCACGCCGCATGGCACTTTCCAAAGAGGACCGTGTTGATCTCCTGGGAGCCCCCGTGTTTACGGAAGGGCTCTTTGGATCGATCTCCTTGCTCACGGGATAAGGAGTAATCGCAGCGTGGCTGCTTCTTGCCCATCCCCAGAGGAAGAAACACTGTCATACACTCCCCGCCTCTGCTGTAAACCCCAGTATAGGGAGCCAGCAGGTGGGTATGTGCACGTGAGTGGGATAAACCGAGTGCTGTCAAAGCACTGTGCGGGTTCAAGAGACGCCAATGCCGGCATGCTGTTGTCAGAAAACACACCTTGCCTGGTATAATAGCTCCGATTAATGCATTTCACCGGTGAATGGGAAATACAGCGTTAATACGTGGGCGCGCGGCCCTCGTAAGAGTGGCCGCGGTGCGTTCAGGAACCTCCGCAGGAGAACGGTGGTTTACGTTTGTAAACTCTAGTTCTGGAGTGGTGTGTGTGTGGGAAAATGCATTCAGTAAACACGGTTGCATTTATCCCAGAGTAAGAGTCATCTCTCTCCACAATTCCACTTTTCCCCATAATGTCCGTTTCAAAGAGAGGGCATTGTGACGGCGCGCGCGGCCCCCCTCCCCTGAGGGCAGGCCGCGGTGCGTTCAAAGAACTCAGTAGAGAGAAGAGTCACCGCTGCAGACGAGAGAGCACAGCGCGACGGTGAGACGAAGGGAGAGGTGCCGGCACGGAGATCCCATGCCCGCGGTGCCCTCCACCTCTTCGGCCCACCCCGTGGAACCGGCGTGTCGGCACTCACGGGGACGGGCTGCCCAGCCCCGGCAGGCTCCGCAGCAGCAGAGAGCGGCCGGGTGGTGTGCTCCGTCTTTACGGAGCTGTCTGGCGGAGAGGGCGAAATCCCGCCTCCTCCCTGTACAATGCACAGATCACTACGTTTTCTAAATAAAAATGAGGTTGATCTGTATCCAAATCTAGGTGTCTTTTGTTTTCACAAATGCTACACTTACACACAATGTTAACCGTACAAATTCCCCATTCGCTGCCCCAGCTGTAGCTCCTGTAAAGGAGGTGACTAGTGGGCATGCGCAGATGAGAGGGATGAACCGGAGGGAGTGCTATCTAAAGGAAAGCGCTATGCGGTTACAGGGACATTATGGCCGGCGTATTGCTGTCAGAGAACACACTACGCCTAGAGCAAAGACTCCAGTTAATGCAGTTTACCGTAGTGGTAAAGGCTGTATTATGGCGGAGCCCGCACTCACACAAGAGCGCGTGGCGGTGCGTTCAGGGACCTTAGTAAAAACACACTACGCCTATAAAAACTCCGATTAATGCTGTTTACCGTAGTGGTGAGAACAGCATTATGGTGGAGCGCGCGCAAGAGCGTGAGGCGGTGCGTTCAGGTACCTCAGTAAATAATCGGCCCTTTCTGTGTCGACCCTCCATGGGCAAATCTTCCATTCATGGGGAGTTTTGCGGCGGAACGGGTCACCAGAGAGTATCACAGCTTCATAGCTGCGGCTCCACAGCTGAGGGCTTGTCCATAAACACAATGTTATGGGGAATGGAAACTCAGCTGTGTACTAATAGGGTGGATGGACAGGTCGCTGAAACGGGGCTATTCACTCCAGTTTTGCAGCGTCCCACCTCCTTTTATGGGCATGCGAGAGGTAAATCTGTCCTCCCAGGAGGAGATGAGTTTCCTCTCATAAGAGATTCGGGCTCTGGTGCAGAAGCAGGCTGTGTCTGTTGTGCACCCTCAGCACAGAGAAAATGGTCTTTATTCCATGTACTTCCTGGTTTCAGGAAGACAGGGGAATTCAGACCTATGCTAGATCTCCGCGGCCTGAATCGCCACTTTTCCTGCAGGAAATTCCGCATGGTAACTATGAAACAGTTACTGGGCTTGTGCAGCCAGGCGATTGGTTCACCACCATCGACCTGAAAGACGCGTACTTTCATGTAGAAATTGCTCCAGAGCACAGAAAGTATCTGCGTTTTGCCTTCCAGGGGATAGCCTACGAGTACAACAGGCTGCCGTTCGGCTATTCCCTATCCCCACGCACATTCAGCAAATGTGTGGCCACAGCGCTTTAACCGCTGCGCGCCCACGGCATGAGAGTTTTTCTTTTACCTAGACGACCTCATAGTCGTGGCTGGGTCCCGGGAACAGGCAATGTTTTGCACAGCACGATTGATCACACACCTAACCAAATTAGGTTTTGCGATCAATTGGAAAAAGAGCACCCCCATACCTCACCAACAGGCGTTGTATTTGGGAGTGGTGCTCGATGCAGACGCGCTACGCGCCACCCTGTCAGAGAGCAGACGTGCGTCCCTTCTCCGGGCGGTGCACAGGCTGCGACAGGGGGCGACAGTGACAGCTTTAACTGTCATGCAGACTCTGGGTCTCATGGCGGCTGCTCACATTGTGGTCCCGCTGGGGTTACTACATATGCGCCGCCTGCAGAGGTGGTTCTCCAGCCTGCGTTTGGATCCCAAGAGGCACAAACGGCGGCTGGTGACCATCCCCCCCTCAGTGGAGGGCAACCTCCGGTTTTTGGGGGTCCCCGGATCACCTCCGGAGGGGGTCTCCACTGGGACGGGTGACCTCCTACATCACAGTGTTCACGGACATCCAGAACAGGATGGGGAGGGACCTGCCTGAAGAGGGCTATAGGTGGGCGCTGGGCTCTACGGAGTCTCAACACAGCAACCTCCTAGAGCTACGGGCGGTAGTGTTAGTTCTCCGGCATTTCATGCCCCTAATTCAAGGGAGACATGTAATGGTCAGGAGCAACAACAGCACCACAGTGGCTTATATCAACAGGCAGGGCGGAGTCCGCTCCGCCCTCTTGTTGGCCACAGCGGAGAGGCTGTGGTTATGGGCTTCAGAGGTGGTGTTATCTCTGAGAGCCCTCCATATCCCGGGACTGGAGAACAGGGGGGCCGACCTCATGGCGAGGGGCGGCCCCCTGCCAGGCGAATGGACGCTTCACCCGGAGGTGGTGAAGCAGATCTAGGCCCAGTTCGGGAGAGCGGAAGTGGACCTGTTCGCCAGCCGGCACAACAGCCACTGTGCCCTGTGGTTTCTCCATGGCCCTGAGCAACGACCCGCCTTTGGGGGTGGACGCGTTTGCACACGAGCCATGGCCAAGGAAGCTGCTATACGCCTTTCCACCGCTGCGTCTCATTCTCCCTCTCCTGGGGAAAGTGAGGCGAGAACGTCTGGCAGTCATTCTGGTGGCACCGGATCGCGTCGGGGCTCCGTGGTACTCAGAAATGACACAGATGAAGGTGGGCCAGCCCTGGGCGATCCCCCAGTTCTGGGGGGCGATGTCTCAAGAGGCAGGTGCAATCGGGGCGTTACCCACTCTGGGCCGTCCTCTTCAGGCTTGGCTCCTGAGAGGGACAGGCTGAGACAGGGTGGATTGTCTGACAGCGTTATTCAGTCTATCCAGGCAGCTAGAGCAGAATCCACCACAGCCTGTTACAGGCCAAGGTGGCTGAGATTCCAGCATTGGTGTGAGTAGCGGGGAATAGAGCCCCTATCTTGTGAGTTGGGCTCTATTTTATCCTTCTTACAGTTACTGGTGGACAGAGGGCTTGCTCATTCCACAGTAAAAGTGTATGCAGCAGCCATCTCGTCCTGTCATGAGGGATTCAACGGCAGGTCAGCCTTCTCTCATCCACTGATGTTGCGGTTGTTACAGGGGGTCAGGAGGCTGCGCCCTGCAGTGCACGCCTCCGCCCCACAGTGGGACCTGCCGCTGGTGCTCGAGGCTCTGGTCACGGAGCCTTTTGAGCCTCTTGAGCTCTCCTCCCTGAAAGCACTGTCGTGGAAGACAGCCAAAAGAGTGTCCGTGTTAACCGCTCTGTCGGTGCACCCGAGCTGTTTACTGATTCGGGGTGACCAGAGTGGGGCGACACTCAGACCGAACCCCTCCTTTGTGCCCAAAAGCCTAAGGAGTGCGTTCAGGTCGAGGGCTATTCAGTTGGGGGGTTTTAG